AAATTTTAATATAAATATTTTTTATTGATTCATGAGATTTTTATGTACTATGTTATATTTTAATTGCCTAACTTTCATATATATATATATATAAACATAAAAAATATTTATTTTTTTCAACAAAAGAAAAAGATGAAAATTTTTATAGATCCATGCTACTAATCAAACATCATGGATGACGATATCCTGAAAAAGATTCAGTCTCCTTTTTTTTTTTGATCTTTCACACTTCAAATCACAAAGTTCTTTAGAAACAAATTAATTAAAATTTAAAATAATCACAAAAATAAAAACTGTTCCTTTTATGCACCTGGCCTCCTGACCTAGTGGTAATTGTCACAATCAAAGGTGCATCCCCTCCTTTGGGTGGGTTCGACCCACTCTATGATCATTGTTCAAAAAAAAAAAAAAAAACTGTTCCTTTTATAAAATTAATAGAATTCTTGAAAATTAACCACCTGAATTAAAATGTGCAATTAAGTAACGAAGAATCCCAAGTCAAAAATCATGATTAAGTAAGTGGCAATCTTGTAGTTTGCATTAAACAATTGGATAATCTTACCTAAACCAAGTCCAAAGGAGGTGCAACTTGCTGATCCACTTGCAGTGTTCGGCCTGGCTGTTTGACAAGACCAGTTCCCCCTGCTTCATCTTCTACACCACTCTTCCCCAAATTATTCCAACTTGCACGTCAAAAAATTAATATCAGGAATATAATATAATATAATATAATATAATATTTAAAATTTATTAATAATATTATATAAAAATTGAATAGGTAAATTTTAATATAAAATTTATATTTATTTAAAATTTATTTGTAAAAAATAAAATAATTATTTTATATTTTAATTAATATATTTCTTTGTTATATACCTTATGTAAATTTAGCCACTCAACGCCGCATTTTATTACTTATCTTCGATTATATAAATGTAAGTATGTAAAGTTGTAAACCAGAAATCTAACGGACAATCCACTGAAGTTTCGAGAAAGGGAGATAAAAAGCAAGGAGAATGCCTTCATCCGTACAACTTCACAGAACCTCCGCCACGACCACCACCATATTTAGTGGCCAAAAACAGTGTTCGGGGTCGAACATGACGCGATGCGCCCTTTTATCATGCGGCGGAGTCTCCGTGCCTGACACCGTGGCGCGGTACCATAACCACGTGGTGGGTCCGGACCAGTGCAGCTCATATGCGGTCCAAACTATAGAAGCTCCCGTGGACACGGTTTGGTCCGTGGTGCGCCAGTTCGATAACCCTCAGGCGTACAAGCACTTCCTGAAGAGCTGCCACGTGATCGTGGGAGATGGGAAGGTGGGCACGCTCCGCGAGGTGCACGTGGTGTCGGGCCTCCCCGCCGCGACCAGCACCGAACGGCTTGATATCTTGGACGACGAGCGTCACGTGTTCAGCTTCAGTATCGTTGGTGGGGTTCATCGGCTGACGAATTACCGGTCTGTCACTACCCTCCATGCGTCACCGAGCGGAACCGGTACGGTTGTGCTGGAATCATACGTCGTTGATGTACCGCCCGGTAATACTAGGGAGGATACATGTATTTTTGTGGATACAATCATACGTTGTAACATGCAATCTTTGGCACAGATCGCAGAAAACATGGCCAGAACTCGAGAGAGATCTTCATCATGAATATTTAACAAATTGATTAATTAAAGGTCTGATTTAGATTTTTCCTTTGTTTTTTTGTTTCGTTTCGTTTCTGATCGATGTGGGATTAGTGATACCAATGATTGTCAATAACCTGATCAGAAATTCATAGTGTTAATTAGGGGAAGCTCTTGAAGGTGAATGTGATCGTGTATACAGTTTTGCTTTACCATTTTCTTTCATCAAAGTGAATTTGATGTTTAATGTGTATCTAATTATTAGTATATATGTGTGTTTTGTTTATGAGAGAGTAAAGGGGAGACATTAATGCTTAATTGTGAATTCTCTCCAGATTACCTTTCTTTGTTTCCTGTGATCTCCTTGTTTGTATGTACGTATTACTTGGAAATCATAAAAACAATTTGGTGGTTCAATTAACAGGCCCCAAACCTGCATTTTTTTTTATATATATAAAATCATATATGATATAAATAGTAGAGTAGATTTCCAAAAAAATAAGAAAAAGAAACAACTTAAAATTATATTATTTTAATAAAATATTAATAAAAAAAATCCAAACAACATAATTTCTGGTTTTAAAATAACTATATATGTTTGATTCTTTTTCAATAAAGAGTTTATTAAAAGTTCAATATTCTTATCTGAGCTGAGCAATATTCCACAAGATTAGTGTGTGCAAATCCATAACAATTGGAGTAGTGTTTTTTTCTTTTTTCTTCTTTTTTTTCTTTTAAGCGTGTCGGCAGAGAGATGAGCTTTTGATTTTGAAATATTTGGATTAATGATTTGATGAGCATATATATGAAGGTCTGTATTACTCCTAGGTAGTATTATTTAATAATTAATTAATATCGTACGACGAATTAATTAACAATGAGAGTTGGGATGCATTGATATGGTCCTGGTTTGGTAGAGTTTTTAAATAGTAAACTTGATTTTTTTCTCTCATAAAATTAAAATATTTTTCGAAGAAAATTTTGAATTTTATTTTTTAAATGACTTAAAAGTTTTAAAAGAGAAAAAATTTGTTTTAAAAAAAATGATATTGGAACAATTATTTTGTCTCATCTTTTTATATAACTTAACATATTATTAAAATAATTGATTCTTTTAATTCATATGAAACCCATGATATTAAATGCATCTACTCATTTAATAACATATAAAAATTATACAAAAAAAATAAAATAAAAAAATTATTCCAATAACACCACCCTTTATTTAAATATAATTAAGTTTACTATAAACGGCTCTGTCAAACGGCGGCTCCACAGTCTTTAATACTTTGGTAGCTTTCCTTGAAACTTCACATGCATAACCACTAGTTTACAAGAAAATTAAAGAATCCTGCATGAATTTTTCAATAATGGCTGGTGCCTCGAGTTTGAATTAATTCAATCAACTAGCTTTAAATTACTCTGATAATCTGGGAAAAGAGAGAGACCCTGCAACTTGTTATAGAAAACCAACCAACTTGTTTCTTTTTCTTTATTAGCTTTCTCTTTTTATTAAAAAAAGAGAGTAAAATTTAAGACCTTGTCAAAACATTAAAAATATCAAAATATTTAATTTTAATAAAATAATAAATGAAATTTATATATTAAACCTATATTATTTTTTTTTTTATCGGCATATTAAACCTATATTATGTCTCACCCATCCTATAATTGTAATTAAATATTTTAACTTTTAACACCAATATTTCATAATTTTTTGCATCATCTTTCTTTACACAAGTAGATGTGTTTTCTGCATCATCATCTTCATATAATCTGTTGAGTATTTTTTTTTTTTTTTTAATTTTAATGGATTTGAAGCACCCTAGTACTCCCACTAATTTATTTTGCTTATAAAAAAACAATTTAATTGATTAAGAAATGTTGCTATCGATCCTATTCCATGCAAAGTTTGAAGAAGGGGTGGCAATATTGCAACTTGGTGTGCAACTTGGCACGGAGGCTTTTAATGTTTCAACATGTACACCCGCTAACCATAAAGAAAAAAAAGTAGTTGTTCATTTATGAATTATGATTTGAGTTCATTAATTTGTAAAGAAAATACAAAAAATTAACTTTGTATTTTTATTTTTTGAACATGATTAAAATTTTATTTATCTAACATAGTCATACAGTATCTATATAATTTCATTTTCTTATTTTCTAGACAAAAATTGCCAATAACACAACATTTTGAACATAAATGGAGATATAAAATAAGAATAGATTAGGTTAAATGTATTTAAATAGAAAAGAATTTTGATAAGTAAATCACACAATCAACTGTTGAGAAAAACTAACTATTTATACATTTCATTATCATTGAACACCTTTTAATCTATTCTGAAGAGAAGTTAATACAATCTTCATAATGCCATGACAAATTCAGTAGACTCAACTTTCTTCTTTATGGCTATTTGAAACTTTGCAATCAATCTATAGCTCTAATTACTTGCTTCTAGATCTAAAAGCAAAAGTATAAACTGATATGTTTGGTACAGTTGATGGGAAGTCATTTTGGTCTTGAAAAGCTCTAATTGCACAAAACACTACAACTCGTGAAAATTGCTACAACTTCTCACAAGTTAGTCTTTTGTCAATTTCATTGCAAATCTCAAAAACATTGAATTGATACTTTTGTAAGAGTTTCTTATTTGGGTTTAATGAAATTAACACATTATTCATATTTTATCTTTATTTTTCTTTTTATTTACAAAAATATCATTTCTACAACAGTTTTTTTTCAACAAAATTTTTATTAAAAGCTCTAGTTACATCAAAAAGGCACTCAGAGACCCTGAAGGAAAAAAGAAAAAGGAAATGAAATGAACAAGGAACTAAATTAAAAAGAAGAAGAAGAAGCTAAGTTCATTAATTTGTATAAAAAAAACACACAAAAAGCTAACTAACTTCACTTAAGGACATACGTTAAGGGTGAATTAATCACACATTGTTTCTATTAATTTATATTATAAAAGCTAACTTCATTTTCAATATTGATAACACATGTATGATTTTTAATTGAGTTGTTGATAAAATTAAAATTTATTATATATTTTTTTAAATAATTATCAGAAAAATGATACGATAAACACCCTTCGTAACTTGCAGGAATGTTGGAAAAACCATAATTAAATTCATTGCAAAATTGAAAATACTGGGGAACCAGCCCTCCAAGACTACCTCCATAGCTGATTTTAGAGCCCACCCTACCAGTAGGCTCAACCCTTGGGCCTAAGACGCCTCTAAAGCGGCCCAATTGAAATTTTATGCAGTAAAGCCCAATCAAATAGGAAGGGATTTGCAATTTGCAGTTTGCACCTCTGAAGCCCAATTTGGAATTTTGGGTTATTAACTTTATACAGCAAATGTGTAGATAAGAATATAAATTCCCTACTTTCCACCAAAAAATTATAAGAATACAATTTTTTTTTTGGAACATAAAATTTTCTAGTTTCTAAATCAAGTAGTGACCTTTTAATTTTTTCTAAATAATGATAAGAGATTTTTGTTTAGGGAAATGATTTTTGTAAAACTTTTTTGTGTAACCTTTTTATCTAATTTTTTTGTACAATTTTTTTGTTATATCTTTTTATACAATCTGATATGTCATTAAAATGATTAACTCTTTTAATTTATATGAAACCTGTGATATTAAATGCATCCACTCATTTAATAACATGTGAAAATTGTATGAAATGGTAATATAAAAAGATTATCCCTATAACATCACCTTTCTATTTATAAGGCTTTATTACATGGTAAGATTAATAGAGTATGACGTGGCATACAATAATTTTAAACAAAATGTCAATTCAATAAAGCCTTAAATAGAAAGCTAGTAAAATTTATATTTTTAATTAAAATATTAAAAGATCACTGCCTGATTTAATAATAAAAAAGTTTAAATCCTGAAATAAAATAAAAATAAAATTCATATTCTTGTTTGTAAATCTTCTTTTAACTTTGCATATGCCCCTTTTAAGATTATCTGTTCGGAATAGGTGTCAACAAAACAATCAATTTCTGAAATTTTCGGTCATATTACAGATTTTTCCTAAAGAAAATACATTGTACAGTACAAGTTTCGGTGTTCAATTCTGATTTCCGAAACATTCGGTTTTTAAATTTTTTGGTCATCAGTTCGACCGAATGAACAGCGCTAGCGAATCGTCTAAGGATAGAAAAGCTTAGCAAAGAGAAGCTCGTTCCAAGTATCTTGGACGCCAGGCAAGCACCAGTGGATGCAATCCGCATAGCTAACGGGATTGGCTAGTTGTTCTTTCGTCAATGGATACCATTGCTTCTTGTAAATGGAGGCGTGCGCGTCCTTCCTATAACTGGAGAGCTGCGTTATGTTGAGAAATGTTATTGGGAACTTGGTTTCACTAAACACTTCTTCAGTCACCCTCATTAAGCTCTTCTTACAATCTGACCCCCAATATGTTGGATCTTCAATTAATGTTGTTTCGTTGTAACAGTTTCCGCCTGCTTTACTCCCCCATTCAATGCTCCTATTTCACCATCAACAAATTTTGAATTGTCTTATGGTATCGCTAAGGATGTTCTGACAACTAATTAGTTATCGTTTTGGCTTTTAATTTACACGTAATTTTAAATGAAGTTAAAATTATAACGAAAATATGGATCATATCCAGGTGGTGTTATAGATAGTTTTACTTACGTTACATGAATGGGAGACATGCTGGTGAAGAATACTCTGGTTTTTTGGGGATCCATGTTTTTCCTAATCCATCTTACCAAGTTTTTCAATGCCATACGGTAGGCATCCTCAGTAGTCAACCTTACTATTTCTTTCTTTTCATCATCAAAAGATCCTTTCCTCCTTCACCAAGGAAAAAAAAAAATGTAAGATCTAATTAGTTAACATATAGTATAACAAGGAAAAGAGATTAGCTGTTAGTACATTACTACATAAACAAAGAGAACGTTAATTAGGAATGGGATTTATAAGACCGTACAGAATCTTCATCTTTTGTCCTGTCACCCACCACAGGTAGGTGTTAAAGACTATAATGTCGGCACCTTTCCAATGTTGACCGTGTTTGTTTATGGAACCTTTCCTTACAATCCTGTCTGTAATCCTATGAATAACAGCATTGTCTGAATTTGATTCCAAAAGAAATGGTGCCCAGTAGAATTCAATTGTGGCATTGTACTCCTAAAATTCCAAAAAAGAAAAAAAATTATACCACTATTTAATTATAAAAATATATTATACAGTTAAATGAACTGAATTTCTTTTAAAAATTATACTTATGTTTTTGGTTTGCAGTTTGCACTATAATCATTAATTTAATAATTATATATATAATATAGAACAATAAAGTGAGGGGAAAAAATAATTAAGTAAATAAGATTGTTCAAAGTTACCTTGGTTGTGTAGGCGGCTAGGGAATTGTTATTAGTTTCAATGAATTTGGTATGTCCTGGAGTAAGTCTGTGAAGAAGGCAAACCATGGAATTGTACTGACCATTATTCAGTGAGTCTCCCACGAACAACATCCTCTTCCCTCGTAACGTTTCCAGCATTAATGTCGCATTGAACCTGTCTAATTACTTTATTAATAATTAAACCAACAATTATTAAAAAATCATATAATAATTCCTCTAATTCTTCGAGTCTGTTTGGTTTCATAGAAACGATGGAGAAGAGGGAAAATTTTTCGTTCAATTGCGGAGTGTGGCTAACAGAAATGAATCTACCTGGGAAGAGAGCAACGGTGAGGCTGCCATCGCCAGTGCTGATAATCCTTGTCGGGTCTGCCGTGTTCTTGACACGTTAGCTGCGGCCGAATATAAGGACACTCCGATTCCTCGTACAGTGGTCTGTTCAAGTCGTCCCTCACCCATCTTCCGCTGAATATATCACACCCATCTTCGGTTTTGCCTATGGCGAATGGCAGTTTCCCTGTTTTCTTCTCATCTAATCCCAAAACAAAACAGAACGCAACTCAAACGAGATATATATAAAAGAATCGACTTTTTGTTTTGAGCGATTATGTAACTCACCGGTTGTTGAGACTACTGGAGCCGTGTTGAGCTTGGGTTTACCGAGGTTGAAGAAAAATTCCTCACCGTAGAGGACGGCGACCAAGGCGAGGGGAGCTAATAAGGTGAGCAGGTAGGGAGACAGAGGGATTTTTTTAAGAACAGGGAAGGAGAAGGAGGAGGAGGAGGAGGAGGAGGAAGCGGAAGAAGAGAGATCAAGTGTTTTCATGTTATGGTCTCTTTGTTTTGATTCGATATGTAACTGGGAAGCTCAGAACTCTCCAATATATTGATTTGATTGAATAGTTTGATTTTATATGGTTATTAATTCTTGTTTGCTTAAATTGGTTATTACTCCCTCTGTCTTGCTTTACGACCTTCTATATTTTGCACTAAATTAAGACATTATAGATAAATATTATCTTAAAAAGTAATAAAAAAAATGAACAAAGAGTTTTTAATAATAGGATAAATAATTAAAATAAGTAAAAATTAATAGGGTTAAACGATGCAAAAAAATATTTGTTTTAAAAAATACAAAAAATAACACTTAATGTAAAATAAATTTAAAATTAAAAAAAATAATTATATTGGGAGGGAGGGAGGGAGGGAGAGAGTACTATTAGCAATGGAAAACATTTTAACAAAGCCATTGCTAAGGTGTAAGAGTTACTTAAAAGGAAAAGCCGAGAAGTAATTGCTTTGTTGTACAACACACGTTGAGTTTATAGAAGCCAAGTTGCGTGGTTGGTTGTTTGATTCTTCTCTCACCTCCTGAGAGAAAGTAGAAGCAGCAGATTATTAGGCTTCCTCTTTTGTCAAAAAATGGACAGTGCAGTTTCTTTGTAAATCAAAATTAGTGATAAAATCCACCCAGCCCACTGGTTAGGCCGTGTTCCTCAATGAAAAGGGGGTGACACTCACCCTTATCTAAAGATCGAATCTTCAGTTTCTAACAAATAACTAACTTAATTTATTAACTATTGTTCTTATATAAAAAAAAAAAAACTAGTGATGGGATATTATAACAAGTTGCAAAAGGAACCATAAGGTTGAGCCCATTGGTTGGTTGGGCTTCTTAAAAGGTGGTTCACCATTCATCAAGGACCCTCGTCCGCATGGACCACATCAACCTCCCTCATTGCCCCCTTGCCAACCTTTGAGAATATAAAAAAAAGGAAGCCATTGTTTTTTACTATGGTTAAAAAATTTCATGTTTTACCTTTGATTGTATAGTATTATAAAATATAAATTATTAAATAAAAAATAACCTCAATATTAAGGGTTCTCTTTTTATCAAATGATTTAA